TTGGTATAATACTTCATGGTGAGAAACTGGAGGCTTTCCCATATGATCAGTGACAAGACTAAAGTGTCCACTTCTGCCACTTCTAATCAACTGGACTAGAGGCTCTGACCAGCAATTAGTCAAGTAAAAGAAACAAAAGTCATCTAGATAGAAAAAGAAGTAAAGCTATCTCTAGTCACAAGTGACATGACCTTGTATACTGAAGATCCCTAAGAACTTCATTAAAAATTATTAAAATTAATAAGTGGGTTTAGCAAGTTTGCAGGGTGCAAGAGTAACATACAGAAATCAACTGTACTTCTATACACCTGTAGTGAACAGTCTTAAAGTGAAATTTTAAAAACACTTCCACTTATTGTAGCATTAAAAAGAAGAACATACTTGAGAAAATTTTTATAAAAGAACTGTAAAATTTATATACCAGAAAGTACCAAACATTACTGAAAGTGAAAGGAAAGAAGACCGAAATAAATGGAAATGTTTTTATTCATTGAATGGAAGGTATTTTAAGACGGCAATATTAAAAAAAAAGATGGCATTATCCCCCACATTGATCTACAGACTCATTGTAACCCCTGTCAGAATCGCAGCTTTCTTTGTTATAGAAACTGACAAGCTGATTCTAAAACTAGCATGGAGGCTCCAGAAGAGCCACGCGTCTATACTGCTTTTCAACATGGTGCCAAGGCCATTCAATGGGGAAAAGAACAAACTTTTCAATGAATGTTGATGGGACGCTGGATAGCCTCATACAGAATAGTGAAGCTTGATTCTTACCTCACACCATATATAAGCATTTACTCAGAATGGACCAAAGTCCTAAATGTAAGAGCTTAAACTATAAAACTACTGGTAGAACACATAGGGGTAAGTTTGCATGGCCTTGGAGTTGACGATGGTTTGTAAGATATGAGACCAGAGAAGCACAAGCAACAACAACAAACAGAGAAGCTGAACTTCATTAAAACTGAAAACATCTGCAGAGACACTGCCAAGAAAGTAGACATACAGAGTGGGAGGGAGTATTTGTAAGTTAGATAACTGATAAGGAACTTGTATTAAGAATGTATTAAAAGTAGAACAGATAAACAAGATTATACTGTATAGCACAGGGAAATATATACAAGATCTTACGGTAGCTCACAGAGAAAGGAATGTGACAATGAATATATGTATGTTCATGTGTAATGGAAAAATTGTGCTCTACACTGGAATTTGACACATTGTAAAATGATTATAAACCAATAAAAAATGTTAAAAAAAATAATGTATTAAAAACTCTTATAACTCAATAATAAATAACCCGATTTAAAAGTTATAAAAAGGATCTGAACAATTCTCCAAATAAGATATTCAAATGGCCAATAAGCACATTAAAAAATCCTCAGCATATTTAGTCACTTAGGGAGACACAGATCAAAACCACAGTGAGATAACTTATCACAGCCCCTGAGATGACTATAATAGACAATTATGTAAGAACTGTTGGTGAGAATGTGGAGAAGTCAGAACCCTCACACACTGCTGGTATGGGTGTAGAACAGAATGGTACGGATACCTGGAGTGCAGTATGGCGGCTCAATTATAGTCACCGTGTGACCTACTAATTCTACTCCTGAGAAGTGGAAACACATGTTTACACAAAAACTTGTAGACAGGTATTTATTGCAGCATCATGCATTATCACCAAAAGGTGGAAACAACCCACGCCTATCAATGGATGACTGGAGAAGAGAATGTGGTACATCCATACGATGGAACATTATTTGACCATAAAAAGGACTGAAGTACTGGTACATGGTAGAACCTTGTAAACATTATGCTAACTAAGAAGCCAGTCACAAAATACCATGTAGTCTATGATTCCATTTATAGAAATACTCAGAACAGGCAAGTCTGGAGAGACAGAGGGTAGCTTGTTGGTAGGGATGAGGGGATGGGGTGGGGGATGTTCAACAGTGACTATTATGATGGTTGCATGACTATAATGCAAACCACTGAATTTAAAATAGGTGAACTATGTGTTATATGAATTTATTTCAGTAAAGCCTTTTTATTTATTTATTTTATTAGGGAAACACGAGATAGCCTTGTGGTGATGAAAGTGATGAATTAAGAGTGGAATTCTGGACTCCTAGGATAAGGGTTTAACTTTATAAGGAACTTTCGAATTGCTTAACAAGTGACGGTACTACCTTCCTGCTAGCAATGTATGGGAGCTCCAGTTTCCCCACGTCCTCAATACGCAGCACTGCATAGACATTCTTAAACTCAAAGCATTCTAATAGGGATATGGTGTTATGTCACTGTTTTAATTTGCATTTTCTGAGTGACTAATATGTTGAACATCTTTTCTTGTGCTTAGTTTATTTGCTGTTCACATGTCTTTGGTGAAGTGTCCTAAGCTTAAAATAATTAAAGAAATTACAAAGGAACAAAAATTAAATTTCACAAAAATTAGAAATGTAAATCAACACACAAATAACATTTAAAGATGAAGAACAGCTGAGAAAGTATTTGCCACGGATGTGAGGATGGGAATCCTGGATTTAACATGGTAAGAGGTGATGGGTTTGTGCCTGCTGCCTGTGTAGACCACCTCCCACTGTGCCAACCATATTATGTGTTAAGGGGCTTGGACTCCTCCCAACACGTGACCTGGGAGGTGCTGGGAGGTGCCTAAGGTGATCAGAACCTGGAGAGAGGCAGGGAGTCCCAGCCCAGGAAGACCCAGACCCACAGGGTTCTGCTTGCAAACGAGGTCAGCAGGGATGGTGTGGAGCATCAGTGGATGGGGCAGGGGGGTCGGCAGGCATGGGCATCAGGCGTAGGGGCGAGGGGAAGATGGGCAGTGGGAAGGAGTGGGGCAAGTTTTTGGCCGTTATTTATTTCTTCCAGTATTTTTTGTGTCACCTCCCCCTCGTCTCCTTAGGGGATGTCAGTCACCTGTACCCTGGGCTGTTTGCTGTTGCCCCACAGCCTACCGATGCTCTCTTCTTTTCTCTCCTCTTGGATTTTTCCTGTTTTGGAGCACTTTTATTCCTATGTCTTCAAGTTCACCAATCTTTTCTTCTGCAGTATCCACTGTGCCATTAATCCTCCTCCACAGGCTTTGCATCTCCATGTTATGGTTTTTCATCTCTAGAAGTTTGACTTTGACTTTCTTGCTGTGATCTTCTGTGTCTGCACTTAACTTTTGAACATACGGAACAGCATTATAATGGCTGTGTTAACGTCCTCCTCTGCTCATCCCAGTATCTGTGTGGCCTGTGGGTCAGTTTTGGTTCTCCTTCTCATTCTGCATCACGTTCCTGCTTCTTTGTACGCCTGGCATGTGTGTGTGGATGCCACTGTGAGCCTTGTTGGATGCTGCATACTTCTGTACTCATAAATCCTCTGGAACTTTGCTTTGCAATGGCAGTAATTACTCACGAACAATGAGGTTCACTTGGGTCTTGCTTTACTTTTGGTTAGATGGTTGGGGAACAGTGCTCTAATTATTCTCCGATACTGAGGTGAGGAGTCCTGAGTGCTCTGTCTGTCTCCAGCCTGGGAGTTAAGTGCTTTCTTGGCCATCTCCTCGCTGCGCGTGCATGATCTGTGTGCACTGAACACGTGAAGGCATCTGTCTGTTGAACCCGGGGTTCTCTCTCAGTGAAGCCTCCTCCACTCTGGTATTATGTCCTGTAAACTCCAGCTGCCTTGGTCTCAGCTTCATTTCTTCAACTCAGGTCTGCTGAGCTCTCCCTCAGCTTCCCTGCCCTTTGCTGCAGCCTCCGGTTAGTAAACCCAGGCAGCCAGGGGCTTGTCTTGTTTGCTTTCCATCCCTCCGGGATCACTGTCCTTTGTTTTCTGACAGCAGTGTCTTGGGACCATCATTTCCTGTATTTTGATGGGGACCTTTGGTTGTTTCAGGCCCAAGGGTCAACTTGTCCCTTTCCCTGTCACTCCATCTTGGCTGGAAGCAAAGTCCCCAATCAGTCTTTCTGCTTCTTGGCTTCTCTGCTGTTCAAATAGTCATGTATAAAAACACTGACTGTCAGAGTTTTCTCCAAGGGAGCATTTGCTAAGTGCCAGCACATTGCCTGTGTGACCCCAGCTGGTCCTCACAACCACGCACATTTCCTTAACCTCATCTCACCTGACAGCTGAGAAGTGAGGCCCAGGTTTTTTCTAGTTTGGACCGCAGACAGGCTGGTCAGTTTGAGGCCATGTGCATCCTTGTTCTCAGTGCCTCACTGAAGAGATTACCAGGGGCTGCCTGGCCCACGCAGTGTCCTGGCCCCTTGTTCCTCGAAGAGCAGCTCACACTTGCAGCCTGGCTCTCAAGGGGTCCGTGCCCCTGTGCAATCCCTGTGCTGACTGTCAGCTGCGTGTGCACCTGGTTCTCATCCTGCCACTTGGCTTCTGAGTGGGATGGGCCATGGGATGGCCACTGGGCAGGAAAGTTGTCAGAATCACCTGGGCATTCTGATCCCGAGTCCAGGCCTCCTCTGCAGACTCAGGACCACCTGGCTGGCAGGGGTGGCGGTGAGGTCCAGGACCCGGAGAGAAGGTGCTTAGCTTTCACTGTGCTTGAAGATCCTGATTCTAGCCACCTGTTCTCCTGTGGGTCAGCATCAGGACCATTTTCTAAGTAAAGCCCGGCTTCCAGATAATTCTTCAGAAAACTCAAGTCTGAATTTACTGATTTCCTGACACAAAGTTGGCCCAGCACCATCAGGGATGCAGAGCACAGCCCCGACAGAACCAGGCGCCTCTCGCCGGGCTTGGGAGCAGACATGACCAGGTGGCCTGCCTGCCTGCCCTGGCTTGGCCCGAGATGCTGCATGGCCGGGAAGGGACCACCATGCTGTGAGATGACTTGCCTGGTGGGCCCAGGGCACATCGAAGACCCCTTCTGGCTTCAGTGCTTCGTCACTGCCCACTTCAGGAGAGGGGTCCTCAGAGCGGGAAGGAAGGTGGAAGTCAGAAGGAACAGGCCGGGGAAGTCAGGATCATTTGGTATCCAATGCGTGTTCATTTATTTTACACTTACAAAAGAAATCGCCCACCCTCTGCCCCATCCCCCCAAAACAGTCTCTTTTTACAAACATTTAAAAATTAAAAGCAAATGAAGATAGACAAGTTAATTTCAGTACAATTATTTTTCAATGTAGCTGTCATAATTAGAGTTTAAATTTCCTATAAGTGACCAATGTCCAAGTGACTTATAGGGAAATCCTGATTATTGGCCAAAAGGAAAATTCCATATTACAAGTTAGTAAACTCTAGTACAAAAATAGTCCGTGTGTTGGAACAGCCTTTCCTCTTACATAGGTCTCGGGGGGCTTGCTGACCGCACAGTGTGCCTCTGTCCCAGGGTTCTCGCCCTCACGATGGCTCACTTGTCACAGCGGAAGCAGCACGCACCCAACACCGGTGGGGCTCACGGCCACCCCAGGCCATGCTGAGCGGGCAGGCTGGGAGCGCCTCACGGGCCCCAGGGGCACAGAGCAGAGCGCCAGCCCCAGCCATGCACTGCTTCCTGGAGGCAGCCGCATCGCGGGCAGCGCTGTGCCTGCAGAGGGAGCTATGGGCCCAGGGCCCAGGGTGGCACCGGTGCAGGACAGCCTGCCTCCTGCCGGTATCTCCTCACCCACGGCAGCCCGACGAGGAGGGGTGGTCCTGCCCCTGCGGCAACTGGGGCGGCCCTGGCGGGCTATTTGTCCCTCAGGATGTCCAACTGCTCCTGACACTCGGTGAACAGGCGCTGGAAGCGGAGGTTCTGTCCGATGACTGGCAGCAGCTCCTTCAGCAGCTCCCTCTTCCGCAGACCCTGTGGACATGGGGGACAGCTGAGTGCAAGTGGCAGCGAGGACACCTAGACTGCAGGCCAACAAAGACCCGCGTGCTGCCTGCCCCCCAGCATCCGGAGACACTGGAGCTGGATGAGAACTGCTCTCTGTGTTGGGAGGCGTGGGATAGCCACCAGCGGAGTGGCGCACGTGGGGCGCAGCAGGGGACTCAGCACCAGGACAGGGACCCAGGTAGGCTCTGCTCTCTGGGTCCCCTCAGTCTGCTGGCACAGCCACCGCTGGCCTTTGGCTGCACTGGTTGGTGCCAAAGTAGCTTGGCCTCCCAGAGCAGGCTGGAAGAAGGGCAGCAGGCAGAGGGACAGGCAGATGGCCATCCTGGATGGGCCGCTCCCTCACAGGGCTGCTTTCCGGGGGTGAGGAGGTGCCTGGGCGGCAGTGCTGGGGTCTCTGCCCCCGGCTCCTGCCGACACCTCTTCCACCCCTGGCGCACAGGCAGCGTGCACCACCGGGCGGCGTCTCCCCGCACAGACCCCGAGGAGCACAGCTGCTGCAAAGGGAAAACCGCCAACACTGGGCACCGCGGGGAGGGCCGGGGTACTGCAGCAGGTGTGGTGACAAGGTGATAGATGTGGGAAGAACTGAGTGTAGGCAGTAAGTCTGAGTAGCACAGGGGCTGAAGGAGAGGGATTCACAGGAGACGGGACACTGCCCAAGACCAAGTCAGGGTGAGGTCAGGCGGAGGAGCAGCCCACACTCAGGCCAGGAGAAAGCAGACGGGCCCGACATCTCCGCAACAGGTCCCCAGGACACTGTGAAAGGAGAGAAGACATAATGCGGGCAAGGTTCACATAATTAAAGAAGGACCAAGGGCCTTAGGTTGAAAGGCCTCACCAAGTGCTGATGGGGTAAAGTGCAGAAAAGCTGATAACCAGACACTTTAGAATGAAATAGTCAGAATTTTCAGATATAAAAGACAAATACTGAAAATTTTTGAAGAACAAGAGCATATGACCTACAAAAGCAGACATGCCAAGATTCACAACAAAGTGGTGTTTTGAATATACTAGAAAAAAACCTCATTACCTACTTTTTAATCCAGCTGAAGAATTATTCACATAAAAGGCTATAACAAACAATGTCCCTAGGCTGCAAGACCTCAGAAGGTTTGCCACAGGAAAGGTCCACCCTGAAAACGCCTGAGGGAAATACTAAAAGTGAGAAGAAATGAACCCAGACAATGTTAGAGGAGGTGTGGAGAACAATGAGACCAAGTCTCTTGCTAAAGTTGATGGTGGTCTTAAAAAAAAATAAGGAAATGAAAAATATAAATGGTTTGAACTCGGCGATGAAAAAACAGACCATCAGATGAGATAAAACAAAAGCCAGCCATGTGATGTTGGCACGAAACACAAACACGTAACAGAAAGGCTGAACGTTACAGGTGGAGAAAGATATGTTAGTAAATAGTAAAAAAAGAGAAAGCCAGTATTTTATAATTATCAGAGAAAGCAGCCTTTGAGACAAAATCCATCTTGGGAGAAAGAGTCAGAAGAGAGGACAGAGCGGCCCTCACAGCGAGGTGTCCGTGTCAGTCAGTCAGTGAGGGCCAGCAAGGCACAGCCTCCGGGTTCCGGTGACTCAGCCTGCACGCTCAGCAAGCGTGACCTCCTGGACGTGCGCAGACAGGGCGGGGCGCCCGCGGCTGGAGGGCGCGTTCTTCCCTGGCCTACACGAGGACGGGAGAAGCTGCTCTAACAGCAGAACCCAACAGAGCAGCAGGCATCGCGGGGATCATGGGCTGGCATGGGCCACAGTCGGCCGTCTGTTTTAACAGGAGAACAGGAAGCAGCCCCTGTTAGAGAACCTGGAAGAATCGCAGCCGGTGACCCTGGTGTCCAACCAAGTCTGCGGGGAGGGAGGAAGGCAGGAAAAAGATGACTGACCGAGAACATTCGATAGAGAAGAGGAATAAAGACAAAAGCCAGTTTTTGGAAGAGACTAAAAAGATATCGCTCTTGCAAGATTCATCAAGAAAGGGCAACAGCAAGTGTGAACAGACCTGTAACTAGCTAGGAGCCTGGACCAGCAACCAGACACAGCCCAACAGAGAAAAGCCTAGGACCGACCAGATGGCTTCACCGGTGAATTTTATCAAACATTTAAAGAACAATTAACAACAATCCTCCACGTACTCTTTCTAAAGAACTGAAGAGGAGAGTGCATGTTCAGATTCACTCTACGAGGCCAGCATTACCCTGATGTCAAAGCCAGACAAAGACACTGCAAGAAAAGAAAACAGACCAATGTCCCTTGTGAACACTGATGCAAAAATCCTGAACCAAATACTAGGGAACAGAAATTAAAAGCAAATTGAAACCAGTTTGTGATTTATTCCTGGAATGCAAGAGTGATTCAAGAAACTAAAATCAATCAATGTACTACACCACATTAATAGAATGTAGGAAAAAAAAAAACACGGATCGTCTCAATCAATGCAGAAAAAGCATTTGACAAAATTCAACACCCTTTTACTACTGAAACTCTAAAGAAACTGGTAATAGAAGGAAGTTATCTCAATAAAAATTAAGGCCATATGTGAAAAGCCCACAGCTAGCATCATTCTCAACGGTGAAAGACTGAAAGCTTTTGCTCTAAGGTCAGGAACAAGGCAAGGATGCCTTGTTTTGACCACTTCCATTCAACACAGTACTAAAGAGTCCTAGACAAAGCAATGAGCAAGAAAAAGAAATAAAAGGCACCCAAATTGGAAAAGAAGTAGTAAACATATCTGTTTGTAGACAACATAATTTTATACGTAAAAAACCCTAATGATTCCACCAAAAAAAAAGTTTGAACTAATAAATGAATTCAGTAAATCTGCAGAATATGAAATCAACACACACAAATCAGTTGCATTTTTATATACTAACAACGAACAATCTGAAAAAGAATAAAGAAAATAATTCCACAAGTGGAAAAAAAAAGTCTCCCAGAAAAAATGAAGTCTGCCTTCCAACCTCCTCCTTTGAACTGGACGTGAAAGCCACCTTATGACCGTGAAGGGAATGGCCAAGAGGATCACAGAGATGCAGGCCACCTCTCACCTCCAAAGGACCCGCTCTGGAGGACAGACCAGAACCACTTCAGCCAAGGTTAGGGGACATCACGCACCTGCAGCTGAGAGCATCTGTCATGGGTACTGGGATGTGAGCGGACCAATGACTGCAGGTAGTCTATCTACAGAAGGGGGATGCAGGCAGGGCCACACCGCTGTGCCCCCGGGAAGGTGGCCACAGGCTCTCTGGGAAAAGCCCTGCTGAGGGGTCCCACTTGGTGTTGGCATTAACAGCAGCAGCAGGAGGGAGCGGGAGGGTGAATGGCCGAGAACTGGTGGCTCGTCTGTGCCTTGTCCCCTGCGCCCCCTCCGTGTGCGCAGCTCTGGCAAACGCCTTGGCCTAAGGCTCCCCGAGTGGCAGCTGGGACTCAAGAGTGAAACCCCACAACCTGGCTGAGGGATGCTCTGTGGGGCACATGCCTACCTCCTGCTCATCGAGCAGACGGCATGTCAGGCTGCCCGGAGGGGAGGTGTGCTTGGAAATAGCTCCATCACTGCAGGTGATTCAGAACCACCCTTCCCAGTGAGGATGGGGGGACAAAGCTGGACCAAAGGAGGCAAATCGTAGAGAGCCAATGTGCTGGGATGAAGGGCGGGGCCAGGGTGTGGGGGAGGGAGACATGCGAGGGACACCTTTGCCTTGGGAGCAAGTACTAACACGAGAGAGACCAAGTGACCTTGTCAGGCTTGAGAGCTGGCGGGGGGTGGGGTGGGGTGGGGGTGGTGCAAAGCAGGGCCCTGAGGCCCATGGAAAGTGGGGGTCCTTCCTTGGTGCTGGTATCCCAAAGGGATGCAGCCTAGAAGAAGGGTGAACTGGCAGTAAACCAGCCTCTGCACCAGCTGGTGCTCAGTGTGGAAAGTTCCCAGGCAGCCGGGAAACCTCCCTCCCTGAACTGGGCGGAAGAGACCCTGCAGCACCGGGGCCTTAAGAGCTGGTGCGGCAGCAACTACAAGTGTGCCATGGACATGGTGACGTCCCCTGAGGCCCAAGCCGCTCCCACAAGTAGTTCTTCTAACACCATGTCCAGCAGACAGGTGAAAATAACCAGGCCACAAGGAGATAAGATCACTCGAACAAGAACTGGCAGAAACATTTACAGGCAAAGGGCTCCTGATGCTAAGCCATCAGACACAACTTTAAAATAAAACAACTAAGTTTACTGTGCTCAAAGGAAAAAAAATTGGGGGGGGAATTAAAACTGTAAAAATTGATACAGCCAATTTTAAAAAGGGATGTCATGGCATCTCTCTGATGACAAAGAAAAAGAAAGGGAAGACAGAGTCAGAGAAGAACCAAGCCCACAGAATGACAGATACTGAACCTTCAAAGCACTAAGGGAGGACCCCAAAAGAATTCAAGCAACAGAAATCAGATTTGCCACAGGTTTTAGCAACAGCAGCAAACACTGAAAGTCTGTGGCACAACACCTTCAATTGTCCAAAGGGAACTGGCTTGAACTTAGGATGCTATGAACTAACCAAATAAAGATCTATTGCAATAAGACAGAAATGGAATAAAAATACCGGAGTCCAAGGACACACCATGGCCTTCAGCATTCTCCCAGGACTAAGCGCCAGTCCTTCCGGCCTCATCTGTCTTACCTGTCCTCCCATGGCCTTTGCTCAGCTGTTCCTTTTACACTGCAGGCCTCACACCTCAGGGCCTTTGTACCTGCTGTTCCCTCTGCCGGATGTTCATCCCCAGGTACCTGCCCACACCTCTGCTCGATCCAGCTGGATGTCCGTGATCGCCCAACATAACACCTGCTCGTGTGCTGCAGCCCCTGCCCTCTTCCCGCCCCACACGGTACCTGCACCTGCTCCCCTCAGGAAGCGGGGCCCCGGGCCTAGACCTCTCCCAGCAGCTGCTCAAGGACCAAATGGAGCTGTGGCGTCACCCCTGGATCCACTCCCCCAACTGGCTTCTTTAACACGTCAACCACCACACCCGTGTCCCCAAATGCGAGCCAGAAATCCCATCTCTGAGGCTTCATTACATTCCTTATTCTTGTCTCTCACTGCTCCACCGCCACCCACCCACTCCTGTTGGTTCTGTTTCCAAAATGCATCTTGAATTGGTTTCTCTTCCCCCTTCCATGGCCACCACATGGACCGAAGTCACCTTCAGCCACGGCCAGGACCACCACAAACCAAGCCCCGACCCGCCTGCAGCGTCAGTTCACGTCGCCTCTGTGCAAACTCCTCCAGAAGCTCCCGCTACCTGGGACTACACTGCCAGCTCCTCCCAAGGCCCCTGCCCTCCTGCTTCAGGTCACACCTCCCTTCGGTCGATGATGTTCCAGCCACAGCAGCCTCTGCATCTGCTGTCACCTCTACCAAGGGCTGCCTAGGTCTCTCCTTGGTTTCATCTGGAAAGCCCTCCTCCCTGGAGGCAGGTGGAGGGCAGCGGGAGCTGTTGGAGGAGTGGGGAGCCCTCCCCGCCCCCTGGCACACCTGTCTTGCTGCTCTGCTCAGCAGAAGCCCCCGTCGACAGCTATCCTATTGACTGAACTGCTTCCGTGCTGAGGCTGGGGCCCACAGCAGAGCTGCAAAGCTAATGGGGAAGCGTTTCAAAGCACTCAGGCAGCCTGCTACATCTCCCCCTGCACTTCCCAAGAGAGAATTCTTGCGGCAAGAAGGAAAGGAGCACCTACCACCACTGTGGACTCCCACTGGCTTCCAGTGGAGCAGTGAACTGGACCCAGTAAGTCCTTGCATATTTCTCGGAGTCGGTATTCAAACCCTAATTACAGGAACAAACAAAATAAAAACAAAACAGAAATAGGAACACATTACAAAAAAGAAGTAAAACACCAAGGACATGCTACGCTGCACAACACAGAATGAACAAATGCTGTCTCTGCTGCCTGTGTCTCAGTTTAGGGCGCCGAGGCCTAGAGGACAGGTTCTCACCACTCACCCCGCTCCCCAACCACACAGGAAGTGGCGCAAGGGCAGGCAAGAGTGGCAGTGGGGACAGGCCCCAGGGGATGGACAGTGAGGGCGCTGTGGCAGGAGAGGAGGGCAGCAGGGTCTGTCTGGGAGAAGGCGTCTTGGCAGGAGGTGGAATGGAAGAGCAGGGTGAGGGGGCAGCCCCCAGAGAAGAGGTGGCGGGGGGAGGGGAGTTTGCACCCAGAAGAGGGCTTGGGCTACGGGCACTGCCAGGGCAGAGCCTGGGGTCTGTTGGCACTGGGGTAGCTGAGGCCCAGAGGATGGATAAATCACCTCAAGGTGAGGGTGGAGAAGGACGGTTGAAGATGGACCTGAGGACTTCGGGACGAGAGCAGGGCCTCCCTTCCAAGCCTGAGAACTCCTTCTCTGGCAGAGGATGCCAGGGATGGCGGGGAAGAGAACCCCTGCATGGACCTGGGGTAGACGTGTGAAGAGGAAGAGGAGCCAGCAGTGGAGGTGACCCCACATTGTGCAGCCCAGATGACACCCAGGGTGAAGCAAACTGGCGGAAGCGGAGCCAAGGTTTCCCCGGGAAAGCTGAGGAGGCCCGGACGCGGCCGAGTCTGCACCAAACTCATCCCTGGGCTCCGTGGAGGAGGAGGTCTGGCCACCTGACCCATGAGCTCTCGGAGTTACACCCTTAGGAGTTTGGCATGTTTTTCTCTGGCTCTTCTATACTTAATTTGTTTTCTCTAAACCGTAAAACAGGGAAGGTGTCGACAGCATAGCCTGAAGGCAGGAGAGGCTGTGGGGGGCCTGCTCTGTGCCCAGGCCAGAGGCTGCATGGAGACACAGGGGAGCTGGGGAGGCCCTGGAGGCCGAGCCCAAGTGGAAGACGGCTGGTAAGGCCAGACCCCAAGTGGGCCTCAAAGGGGGATGAGAGGCCGCAGGTCACCCCCGAGAACAGGACGGCCACCTCCTCCAACACCTTGCTTCCTGCTGACCAGCAGAGGAGGTGGGGGTGCGGGTGGGAGGGATACCGGGAGGCGGCACAGGGGCTAGGAGCCCCGGCAGGGAAAGCGTGGCTGGGGGCCACGGTGCAATGCCAGACACAGGCTGACCCTTCCAGGCCAGGAGGGGCTCAGAGGAGGGAGAGGCACAGGCCCAGATGTGGGCAGAAGGCACCGTCCACTGATGCTGCCAGGGGTGATGGGCGCAAGCTGAGCTCACGCCTGTGCCTTCTGGGAGGGTTTCCATGTGCCCTCTTCTCCCACCCCCTTCTGCCGCCAAGCCTCCTGTCCTCATGGGCTACCCCTCTTGGCCCCAGTGGGGCTGGATGCTTGCTGAGCTGCCCACTTTGCTGACGGGGGTGGGAGGCCAGGGCTCCTGGGGGTGACCGTGGGAGACCAGGGGTGGGAGCACAGAGACCTGGGCCATGCACCTCGGCTGGACTCGTGGGCCTTCAGGAGGGTCGTGCTGGGGCAGGGACTGAGCCACGCTGGGCGGGTAGAGGGGCGCTGGGAACCTCACCTTCGTTCACGAGGTACCGTGCATAGAGCAGAAGCCAGTGGCGGTACTCATGGCTGGACTGCAGGGTGAGCGCCGCGGCGACCTGGCTCTCCAGGTAGGCCAGGGTGGTCTCCTGCTGCACCACATGAGGCACAGAGAAGAGTCGGGCCGCCTGCCGCCCCGAACTGCAGAGGACAGCAGAGCACAGGTCACATGGCCGCCACCACGTACCTGGCACCAGCAGGAAGCCAGCAGCAGGGCAGGCATCAGACTCCACCCCGGCCCAACTGAGCTGGAGCCCCAGCTCTGGGCCCCCTGGCCGCTCTGCTCCCCCTCTATCCCCTGGGGGGACAGGCTAGCAGCCCACTCCCCCACCCAAGACGCCACCCAACATGAGGACAGAGGACCTGCAGACCCACAGACTGCCACCTGGGCCCCCAAGTGAGGCTAGCGCCCAGCATCCTAGACAGCGCCGGACACTTGGCGCCTCTGGGTGCCCGTGCAGAGGGCCACTGGGCCCCGAAGATGGGCAGTCTGAGGTGGGCCTGGGTGGGGCTGCGTGCACAACCTGTACCCCTTGCTTGGGTCACCTACGTGGAGGCGCGTCCCTGGACTGTGGCTAAGGGTCCTGAGCACAGCATAGCGTCCTGGGGGTGCAGGCTGCTCCTGAAGTCTGCACACTGGGCCAGGGAGTCCTGCTTGTCGGAAACCAGGTTCCTGGGTGGGGCAGAGAAAGTACAGAGCTCAAGAGAACCAGGAGTTCCAACAGAGGAGGCTGAGCACCCCCATGTGCCCACCTCAGGGCTCCCTAAGGCAGCATTCTTGATTAGGACTCTAATGACAATGCGGGGCACCGACGCTGCTGCCGCGACCACTCAGGCCAGGCTTGGGTCCTGGGGCCGGGACCGTGTGAGGGGATGTTCTTCCCTGAGCTCCCCTGGCAGCCCAGCCATCAGACCTGCACTTTCTCTGGCCCCTCATGTCTCTGTTGAGAAAACATTCTTCACGTGGTTTACAGACAGCCTGGTGCCTTTGTGCAAGCGTCCGAGATGCAGAGTCAGCATTCCCCTTCCTAAATAACCAGCTTGTTCCCATTATACCAATCACATGTAATACACAGCACTTTACAGCTGGCAAGAGCAGGGAGTGGGGACTTTTAGTTTCCTAGCCCAAGAAAGAGATCTTAGTGTAAGGATAAACTTCTGTCTGGCAGCTCTTAACAGAAAAGGGCTGGAGAGGGACAAGCTTGCGCCTGGAGGACCACAGGTACACCCTTCTGGGTCTGAGTGAGGGTCTCTGACGTGTAGAGATTTCATAAACACAGAAAAGGGCCCCACATTCCAAAATGAGCAGAAACACGGTGCAGACACTCAGATCACCACAGACATGGTGAGTGCCATTACCCCTGGCTCCTCCTGAGCTACAGAACTTGCCCAGGGCTGGTGGGACTGCCGTGAAGCTGACCCGCTGATGGCCGAGGAGGCTGGGCTGGGAGCATCTACCGAGAACCATGACAGCCTTCCGATGCCTATTCCACACAGAGGGACCCGGAGAACATGCAAGGAAGGAAGGCCCCCACCATGCAGGGTCTGAAGTGAAGGGGCTGCGGGACCAGCTGCCGGTGGGGAGGGGCGTGGGCTGTACTGGTGGGTTTGAGCTCGGCCTCCTCCAGCAGACAGGGCCCGGGGCTGTCACTGCCGCTCCACTCCAGCGCCCAGCTCCCAGGAGGAGGGGCCAGGCAAGGGCCTCTGCTCGCTGCTCTGGGCTCCAGTTGAGACAGACACCCCATGGGGCAGGGCCAGGGCGGCAGGCTTACCACGTAGACAGTGATGGATTGAAGCAGTAGGCCTTCCCATCGGACAGGTTCATCACAGGGATCCCGTGCTGCGTCAGCAAGATCTGTGACACCGTCATATCACTCCCTGGGAAGACACCCGCGAGTGGGTTTCATGGCGTCATCCCTGGCAAGAGCTCGCGCGTATGGGGGGCAGGAGGGTGTCTGAGCCGCTGCTCCGCTCTGCCAGCTGAGCTCACTGCCACCCTCTCCTCCCAAGCCTGCCCCAGGGCCTGGCTTCCACTTTGCTGAGCGGAGCCCTTCGCGCCAGATCTGGACTTGGGCTGCCCTGCCCCCGGCTCACCTGCCAAGATGGAGTGCAGAGACTCCTCCTTCACCACCACCACCTGCCTGTGAACATCCCTAGGAGGGAGACAGGGCTAGGGTGAGGGTGCACCAGAGCAGGCCTTTGAGCTCAGACCCCACCGCATGGGCCCTGGGCCAGTCCTTGTCTGGCCTCCCCCAAGAGGGGCTCTGGCCACAAGTGGCTTCCACACCCCCAGGCCTCTGCGCGAGTCCAGGGCAGAGCCCGGAGCTGTGGGCTCGGCCCCAAAGCCACACTGACTCAGGAGCAGCAGGGCCCTAAGATCCCATTTCTGAGGTGGGCACACGCGATCAGGCCCTGTGACCTCATGTGGTTTGCGCCTGTATGGACAGTGTGGGGCAGGCCGCCCACCCCCACTTCTGCCACCCACAAGCAAAGGCCAGGCACTCTGGGCCTCCTTGGTGTTAAGACCCCCAGGCGTGTCCCGGCAGTGAGGGGGACCTGCGCAGCCCCCCCTGCCTGCCTGGAGCCTCTCACCAGACAGACAGCGTGGCCGCAGCAGTGAGCGCCATGACGTAGGAGCCGGTGCAGTGCAGAGTGGAGATCGGGGACGGCAGGAGGATGGGAGGGAGCAGGCGGCGACCGCAAGCGGAGAACACGGACAGCGTCCTCTTTTCACAGGCCACACACACCACGTCACTGAGAGGGCAGACAGGGGACAGTGTCATGGGGGTTGGGGCTGGGACAGCCCCGAAGGAGTCAAGCTTCCCTCTGCCGGGATCTGCCCGGGGGACCCCCGCTGGGATGCTCACCTTTCCTGAGCTCAAGTGACCCAGTGGGGCGGGCATTCGGAGCACCAGCGCCCCCAGCAGTGTGCTGGGTCACACACCTCAGTGCCGGGCTCAGCCACAGCACCCCTTTGACAATCTCCTGCTAAGACTCACCAGGCCAGCCCGAGAAGGGCTTGGCCAAGACAGGAAAGTCCCACTGCTGAGCTCAGGGGGCCAAGACCGGGGTGGGAGAGAGGGTCACTCGCTGAGCAAAGAACGCTCCACTCTGAGTGTGGGTGCCGTCAAGGATCCCTGCCTGAGCGGCCACCAGGCCCCTCGGGTGTGCCCAGCACAAGCAGGCTGCTGCCTTCCCAGTGGACTCCCACAAGGCCCCCACCACAGACCCCCAGAAGTGGGAGCAGGTGTGCAGACTACTGGACGGTGCCCAGAGCACTGCTGTTCGCTCAGCCGGCGCCTGTGTTCTGCACGGGCAGCAGGCTCGCAGCAGGTCAGGTAAGGAAGCTCTGCTGGCTGCCTGTCCTCGGGGTGGGAGGCTGTGCCCACACACCTGGGCCCCCAGCTGGGGCGCACCAATGGCCTCGGGACCAGGGACAGGAGGGAGGACAGAAGGGTGGCTCCTTCCTGGTACCATACGCTCACTCAAGGCCAAGTCCGCAGACATTTGTGGAAGCGTTTCACACGCAGCCCCGTGATAACTGATTCGGGGTCTAATGGAAACGACCACCTCTGCAAAACCGTCGTGAGAGCATGGAGCACACGGGCCCCACTGGGGCCGTCCACCCCCGGGCTCCAGAGGAAAACACTTATCCTCTTTCCAGACCGAGGGAACGCATGGCATAGAGGTCCACGGGAAGACACTGGGTGACAAACCACCGAATTAAGGTCTCTACTCAGAGGGCAGAATATAGAAAGGGCTGGCCTGGGGACTTGGGGGACAGTCAGAAGTCCGTGCCAACTTCCCTGGATGAAAACCTGGGGTACAGAGAAAAAGCCAGCCCAGGTCAGAGAAAGCCAGGCAGAGTCCAGACTGGAAACAGGGACCTTGTAGATCTGGCCGGCGTGGGGATCAGAACACGCCCAGGGGAAATCCTGGCTTAGGTGACCATCTAGAACATGGAGGGGACAGTGCCACCTCTGCGGGGTGTCACAAGGACCCAGATGACATGCGCACAACCTCGGCCTGGAGCAAGGCCGGGCGCAGGCCTCCCGTGGGCAGCACCCCTCAGAAGGGCACCTCCCAGGACGGCATGGCTGGGGCAGGCTGGGCAAAGACCCTGCTCTCACCAACTGCCAGCAGCGGTGAGAATCCGGCTGGTGAGCACCGTCTCCCACTCCTTCCCTTCCCGGTTACACTTCAAGCGGCTCAGCTTCAGTCCCCCGACCGCCGTCACGTCGTTCTCCACCTCGATGTACATGGAGGGGTCAGAGCTTACCTGGGAGGGGAAAGCAGACAGAATGTCTTTAGGCAACGTGGGCCCCTCGGATGTGGGCCAAGGATGGGAAAAGGACACGAAGAGGCAGAGCGAGCCGGCTGGCTGGCAGGAGGATGGAGGTGTGGGTGGTCAGAGGAGGCAGGAGGGCCAGAGGTCCCAGCGTACAGCCTGGGGCACTTGGGTAGGGACCATGCTGGGAGCTGGCTCCCACCCTGTACTCCGTGCTGCAGGGCAGAGAATCAATGTCACAGATGAAGATCCCACAGCCTCCAGATCCCCCACTTCCCCTCATAAGGGAGAAGGCACAGAAGGCAAGCATGTGAGCACCCTAGCCTGTGGGGCGAGAGCGGGGAGACACAGGTCTCCCGCCTCCTAACTGAAGGTCTTCAGGGACCTTGAGAACAGTCTGTGCGGGAGCTTGGAGGGAGGCCTGGAAAGCCGAGGCTCGCCAGTTCCCCAGGTGGGCACCTCAATGTGCTCCTGGGTCCCATGTCACAAGCGTCCCCAGGAGAGCGTGGGGAGATGGGCTCAGGCAGCGCCTGGCTCCACACGGGCTCGGCCTCACACGCTGTGTCCATGGCGCTGACGAACAGATGCTCTATGTGGAGAACCAGGCGAGCAGTCTGCCTTCATGGCCATGAGCAGATGAGTGGGGGTGGAGGGCCCAGGCACACCTGCAGGCCCCCAGAAGCCAAGAACGGCCCCAAGCAGCACTCAGCAGGGGGTCCCAGATGAGTCTGGGAGGGGGATTTGTGTGACAAGAAGCAGCCAGGTGGCCCCAGCCTTAGGCCCAGACGGACTTGTGGCAGGGAGCCAACCCCGGCCCTCTGGCCCCGCTGAGGACCAGCCTGGGCTGGGGCAGGACACGGTCCACCTGCACAAGGGGTCCTGCAAGGATACGAAACTGAGCTGCGGAACAGGGCGTGGGCGATGGCGTGCACAGGCCTGGCACAGGTGCTAGGCTCAGTGCCCAGAGCGCCTCTGGGCATGAAGGACTATTTGCTCTAGATCTGGGTTTCCAATAAACATGTGGCCACACACTTCGCCCCAGAGCTCAGATGGCCCTGATGACGACCCCACACTGGGTGCTGGGAAGCTGGCACAGACCACTACAGTCCAGCGGGCACTGGGCCCAGGGCGAGTGCGGAGATCGAGCCCCCAGGAGAAGGGATGCCTGGACTGGAGCTTGACAGAGCTGGGCTCCCAGAAGGTGGCAGCAGGGACTCGGAGGGCAGAGCCCTGGAGGAGAGAGAGGTGTGCAGGGTGGTGAAGTGAGGCCTAGAGAAGAGTCTAGTCATCTTGCTGAGACCAGGTGGGTGGTTTGATCAGCTCCGACTCGCCCGGAAGGTGGTGGAGGGCACCTGAAAGCAGCCCTGAGCCCTGAGTCTGTGACGCTCAGAGTTCACTCTGCATGGTGGTGCAGGCTTGGGAGGGAGGGGGCTCACCTGGAGGGTGAATGCTCTCTGCGGGCCGGGCATGGGCAGCTTCAGCGTGGGCGCTGGTATCGACAGACACACGGTATCCTTCTCTGCGGTCAGGGAAGCGGGGGACTGCAAGGGCAGACATCTGTCCCTGAGCCTCCTGGGAGGCGGGGCCCCTGCCCAGGCCTCTCCACCGACTGTGAGGGCCACACCACAGTGCAAATGGATGCCACCTTGCTGCCGGGGTTACAGAGCAGCAGCTGACCCCAGGGGGCTGCCAAAGGACTCCGGGAGGGCTGGGAACTGTCCTGGGCAGGGGGGCCTCCCTCCTCCCCTCGGGCTTGTGTGGGCTCTGGCACCGAGTGCGGGAGGTGGGCGGAGGCCGCACCTGGACGGACAGAGACATGGGCATGAGCCGCGCGTCCTTCCGAGGCCGCCCCTTCTTCTTCTTCTCCACCGTCTCCACCTCGAGCTCCAGCTTCCGCTTGGACAGTGAGGAGGGCTTGGCCACGGGGACCTTCTCGTCACTGTCACTGCTGCTCTCCAGGACGTCCCGGGGCCTCGGCTCCTTCACGAGGCCCTGCTCTTTCAACCTGCACACACACAGGCACCCAGGGTTTTATAACAGCCCAGAAGATCCTTACTCATCCTCCCAAAGCAATGAATTTAAAAAGCAGGAGAGGATGCCTGATTTCTGCTCTAAGACGCAAAGAGCTCAGAAGCTGTGCTTCTCACCCTCAAAGGTGAGAAGTCAACAAGTCTTGGATCCATCAGAGAAGGCCACGGGGAAAAAGGCCACCCTGAACTCTGGAGACACAGGTGAAGACAGAAACCAAAGCTCACCTGGAGCAGAAGCCCCTGGAGCCTAACAGGTAGGCAGGCTTAAAAGTTCCCCAACCCATGGCTGGAGGCTGAGTAGCTGGTTTTCGAGTCAGAACTCCAGGGGGCCAGTGGGAGGAGGGCGGCCAGCCTGCATTAGTTTTGTCTCCAGGAGCGCTCCAGGTGGTGTGACTTGAGGGCAGGCGATTACCCGACTGCAGTCACCCCCCTCCCCGTGGTGCACTCAGAAACTCTTCTGGAGGGACAGGCCAGGACTTGGGCCCAGCAGTGAAGCAGGAGCCTTCATCATGGGATTATAGTGCTTCTCCTCCCCAGTTCTTTGCCTCAGAACCAACGTGTCATCACAACAGTAGGTCACAAGACACAGGCTCTACTTAACAAGGAGTTTCCAGGGAAACTCAAGGAAAAGGAGACAAAAGCAAGGACCCTGGAGGAGATGGGCACCTGAGACACCTAAGGCTGCAGGAGATAGTAAACAAGACCCCATTCTTACCCATGTAAACAAGACCTTTACCCCCTAGTTCCTAACACTCACTACATTATGTTCAGCTCCCAACAAAAATTACAAGACATGATAAAAGGCAGAACAAATAGAACAAAACCCAAAATGAGACACAGCCTCATAAGGCGAAGCAGGATCAGAACCAGAGTCAGATGTGGCAGCAATTTTGGAATTACCAGGCCAGGATTTTTAAATAACTGTGATGAATATGTTAAGGGCTCGAATGGAAACAGCTGGACAGTAAACACGAACAGATGGGTCTTATAAGCAGAGAGGATTTAATAACAATAATGATAATAAAAGCTGAGAATAACAATAATCACAATAACAATTAAGAATTTTTCAAAATGAATGAAAGATACCAAATCACAGATCTGAGTTGCTCAAAGCACAGCAAATAGGACAAATACCAAAACATCCACACCTGCCTACACATAACATATTCAAACTGCAGAACACTAAAGACAAATAGAAAGTCTTGAAAGAAGCAGAGGGAAAAATACACTTTACTTATTAAGGGACAGACTGAAAATTACATCAGATTTCTCTTTAGACACTATTCAAGCAAAAAATGAGTGACGTGAAATACTTAGTGTTAAAAACAAACACACCCACCAAACTAGAATTCTGTATCTAGTGAAATTATGCCTCAAAGTGAAAGAGAAATAAAGACCTTTTCAGACAACAACAAAATGACGCCAGAGGAAATTTGTTGCCAGCAGACCTGTCTTGCAAGAAATATTAATAGCAGTTCTTCAGAGAATGAAAATGATGCAGGTCAGAAACTCAGATCTGCATGAGGAAAGTGCTAGAGAAAGCATAAATAAATGTAAACATTTTTATTTTTCCTATTCTTAACTAAAAGGTAACTTTTGTTCAAACTAGTAACAGCGACAATGTATTGGGTTGTTAGAGCTTATGAATAAGTGAAATAAATGAATAGTAGCAATGTTATAAGTCATGGAAGGAAGAAGCTGGGAACACTCTAAGGTATCTGCACTATCCTTAGGCAGTATAACATCATTTGAAAGTGTATTTAGATGAGTTACAAATGTTCACTGAATTATATGGCGACCACTAAAAAAATTTTTTTAAAGTAGTATAGTTGATATGCTGAGAGAGATCATGCAAGAGACACATGACCCTACTCTCTATGATGCTCTTAGATACTGCTGAGAAGAATGTGAGAGAGAAGAGAAAACGGAACTGCACCAAACACGTGCACAATTAAAACTAGGAGGCCGGAAAAGAGGAGGTTAAAAAAAGATCCAGTGAACAAGTGCAATGAACAGAAAACCATTATAACATGGTAGATATTAATCCAACTATATCAATATCATTTCAAATATCAATTTCTAAATATACCAATTAAAAGACAGAAGCTGACAAAAAGAGTTAAACTAGACATCATTAACAGAAAAATAGCTGGGAAATGCTCAAATCTTTAGCGATTAAAAAACATACTTCTAAATAACACATGGGTCAAAGAAAAAGTTCAAATATTTAAAAATATATATATGTAAATAGACTTAAATATATTCTAAATATTTTTTAAAATATTGAATTAAATGAAAATGAAACACAATGTCAAAATTTACAGGATACAGTGAAAGCAGCGCTTACAGGGAAATATATTGCAGAGAATGCATAAATTAGACAAAAAGAAAGACCTGAAATAAGGTTCACCTTTAGGAACTAGAGAAGGACGAGCAAGCAGAAGTAAACAAATAATAAAAATTAGAGCAAAAGTCAATGAAATTGCAAAGGGAAGACAACAGAGAAAAATCAGTGAAATAAAAAGCTGGTTCTCTGAAAAGATCAGTAACATGGGTAAATTTACAGTTTACTTCTGAGGCTAATCAGAAATAAGAGAAGACACCAATTATTAACATCAGAAATGAAAGGAGGATTAACAAGATTTACTGTATAGTACAGGGAACTACAGTCAATATCTCATAATCTATAGTGGAAAATAATCTAAAAACATACACGTAACTGAATCACTGTGCTGTACACCTGAAACTAACACAATATTGTAAATCAAGTATACTTTAGTTTAAAAAAAAAGAAAATGAAAAGGGTCTCTCACTACTGATCCCATGGACAATAAAAATATAAAAAACATTATGAACAACTTTATACCCAAATATTTGATAACTTAGATAAAACGGAACAGTTCTTTGGAAAAAAGAAAAACAAAAAATCACCTAACCTCACACAAGAAACAATCACCTTAACAGACTTGTTATCTACTAAAGAAACTGAAGCAACAATGGAAAATCTTCCAAGAAAGAAAGCACTAGGCCCAGACAGTTTTACTGGTGAATTTTACCAAATATTTAAGAAAGAAATTATACCAATTCTCTACAGTCTGCTCCAGAAAACAGAAATAGAGGAAATAAATCCTAAGTCCTGTGAGGCCAGCATCACCCTAACACCACAACCAGATCACAAGTTTTCAAGGTCTGCCCCTGTTGTGGCACAGGTAAGTACCTTACTCCTTACTGCCAAATACTACTACAGTGAATGGATGTACCACCTTCATCAACCGACGGACATCTGGGGTGCTTCCACCTTCCGGCTATTATGAGTAACACTGACACGAAAATTTGTGTACACGCTTTTACGTGAACATATTTTCAGTTCTCTTGGGTGCACACCTAGGTGTGGAATTGCTGGCTCATTCGGAAACTTTACCTGAAGAACTGCCAGACTGTCTCTACACCAGCGAACCACTTTACAACCCCACCAGCAATCGATGGGGGTCCTGATTTCTCCCCACCCCCCAACCCTTCTGATCATGCCTTTCTGACTACAGCCATCACAGTGGGTGTGAAGTCATCATGGTTTTGATCTGCATTTCCCCGATGGCTGAATGTCTTTTTATATGCTTATCAGTCATTTGTGGATCCTCTTTGGAGAAATTTCTATTCAAATCCTTTGTCCATTTAAAAACTGGGTTATTAATCTTCTTACTGTTGAGTTGTAAGAGCTCCTTACAGACTGTGGATCCTAGATCTTTTGATATGATTTGCAAATATTTTCTCCCATTTAGTAGGGTGTCCTTTCATTCTGATGACAGGGCTCTCTGAAGCACAAGGTTTACATTTGGATGAAGTCCAGTTTATCTATTTCTTCAGTTGCTTATGGTTTATGTGTTATATCTAAGAAATGGTTGCTAACCCAAGGTCACATCTCTGTTTTCTTCTAAAAGCTTTATAGTTTAGCTTGTACATTTAGTTCTTTAATCCATTCTGAGTTATATTTATACATGGGATAGAATACTAAACTTTCCTCATGTCTCTGACCATCTTATGCACGTTCATTTTACCGTCTCTCTGGGCAATGTCTGATTGGAGGCAGGGAGGTCTACACCTCCTGCTCACGATGTGTCCTGATGTTCGTGCGTACACAAGGTTTCCTCCTGTGCTTTGTCCCTCTGGGTCTGAGTTACCTCAGGTAGTGTGTCCACAGCGGGAAGGCTGTTCTGGGGTCAGGGGAGGGTCCCTGCAGGGTGTACTGGTGTTTGATTTGCCACTGCCTCTGGGGCGTTAAACAGACTAGAACCTCCCTGTATGCCCCCTTCTTGGTGTGATTTCCAGATCACACAGGTCGTGTGACTGACCCCCAGTCCACTCTGGGCAGGCCTGTGGCCATACAGCCTCTGAGGAAGACTGTTTCCAGCCTCAGAGGACAGGCCGAGATTCTAAGCCCTTGGCCACGCACCTGTGCTGTCCCTTGGGTTTTCTCTGGGCCCCTCACTGGAGGTGTACATTCTGAAGCAGCCTGACTTTATGTTCGTGTCTTAGTCCCAACCCCTACAGGCTCAGGCCCAAGGCCCTGTCTCTAATCAGCATGGCCATGAAAAATCAAGGTCACCAGGCCAGTGACCTTCCAGCCCAACACTCACTGCTCTGGTTGTTTTGTTTACTCTTAGATTTTGGCTCCTGGGGACTAGTCTTAACTTTCTTGTGAGCTTCCTAGTCACATACTTTAGGAATGTTTCACCCAGCATTTCAAAACGTTCAGCGGCAGGAAGTTGCAGATGCTCCATGTTGCTGGAGAGGAAAAGTGCTTGACAGAAAGATGACACGAAACAGCTGGCACTGAAGCAAGTGCGTGCTATGCGGGAGAACTTGGGCCCACAGCAAGGGCAGAGCTGACCTGAAGGGGCGGCCCTCCACCCTGGCTTCTGGGGGCTCTTCTCCAAGAGGGGCAAACCCTGCACAGACAAGCAGTTTTGAGGCCAGGGGTGAAGCCCCAGGGACAGCACACTGTGGCTTTAGCTCCAAGACACAGACCACTGCAAGGCTGGTCTCAGCCCACGCTCCCCCTCACTGGGAACCTGCTGGCTGTGTGGCTCCTGTGGGAGTCTCTGACCCATGTCCCTGATCTGGCTGAGCCAAATCATCCTGCAGTGGACATGGCTCGTAAAGCCCTGGTCCTGGTGGAGGAAGATGGCCTGGCCACGTCGAACCCTCCAGCCCGCGACTTGCTGGACAGCACAGTGAGCTCTGTCACAGCGGGCTTGGGAGGGGCCCCCCAGAGGCAGAGCAGCCCTAAGCCAACCACAGAGGCTGCAACACTCAGTTTGGGCACCTCAGGACCACTCCTGCAACTCCATGACCCAGCAAACTACTTCCCACTGACTTGGCGGCTGTGTGCTGAGGGAGGTGTGGAGAACAGAGCCTGCCGGAGCCCAGAGGCCTGACTTCACAAGGACCTGCCCTCCCTCACCTCCACCTCAGCTCCCAACCACCCTCCTGGTCAGCATCTGAGCCCTCTGCCCTCCGACCAGTTTCCTTCCTCTTCTGGGCAGACTCTGAGCTCCCGTTGGACACTGAGCCCACTCAGCGCAGCCTCCGTACCACCTGGCCCTCATGCCTTTGTCCGGAGGCCTTCCCAGCGGCTCCATCCATCTATCTTCTCACTGGGAGCAGCCTTTCCTCTCCTTGGAGTGGCAGCTCCCAAGCACAGGGACGGGGTTCTGCAGCCCTATGGAGGGCAGGCACTGCCCTGCCGGCCCCTGCCGGCCCCTCCCCGGGTCTCCCACACCCCATGCAGCCTCCACCTACCTTTCCACAGCCGTCGGAGTCATGCTGGTCAGGGAGGGGGCACCTGGTGTGGCTTTGGACCGCTCTGTGAATCGAGAGTCGAAGGCTTTCATAGGTTCGATCTTGGACGGGGTGGTGAGCACAGAGGGTGACAATGCAGCAGGAGTCGAGGTAGCGTTCACACTGGGGGAGGAGGTGGAGGGCACATCAGCACAGCTGGCGAAGGCCCGGGGCTGGGTGTGGGTGACCCGGAGCCCACCTCCACAATGTGAATATAGCCACTCCACCCTGACCCACTCTGACCACCAGCTTTCCCGCTGGGTCTGACGGGAAGCCCTACAGGAGCCAGAAGCCATGGGGCCTCCTTGGATCACATCCAGGCTGACCACCCTCCCTGCTGCTGGCCCTAGGCTGGGCGCCCACAGGCATTCCAGACAACCCTCTCTTCCTCTCTCAGGACCTGTCCTTCCCCAGACACTCTTCCCCCAGGGGCTCTCCTCCCTAACTGGTCCAGCTGCTCTTTCCTCTTCTCTTTCCTCAAGGGGGAGGTGACACCTGATGCCTTTGAAGCCACGACACCAGAGCCAGAGGTAGGAGGCCGCGATGAGGCTAGGCCCTGTCTCCGATGCGGGAGAATCTCTGCCAGTGTCAGCGGCATGTGCCAGGGTGGCTCAGTTTGGGCTGTTTCCTCAGGAGCAGGTCAAAGTGCCCATCCCGCTCCAACTGCTCAGGGGTCTGCTGCTCCCCCAGGTCAGCCTCTATGCGCTCCAGGTGGAGTGCTCCCAGGGGCCTTCCTCTCCCAGCCTAGGCACTCCCTGGGGATGAGGGCCCAGCAGTCAACCCCCTGCAGACATCTGGGCCTAGCCCAGTGTGTAACCCTGAGCACGTGCTGGGCAAATGCCCCAAGTGCACAGCTCCCGGCCTAGTCCTGCTCACAGGTCCTTTCTGACTTCTAATTTGGCCTCCAGGTGATGGTCAGCGAAGACTCGGGCTCCCCAAGCAAATGTGCTCTGAACAAGGGGAATCCTGGCCACCGCACACCAGCACCCTGCCTGAGACATGGGGGTGGCCACGCTCCCACCAGGGCTGACTGGCCAATGGGGCAGCTGATGTGTCACTGGCCAGTCCCTACCCTTCGCAGCTGACCCTGGGACTGCATCTCCCCTAGGACTGGAGATCCTCAGGGCCCGGAGCATCAGACTCACCTGATCAAGGCCTCCCTTCCGAGCAGGCCCTCATCTGAAACCAAGCATCTTTCTTAACTGAAGAGGATGAAGCATCCCTGGAAGTGTCCATACCTGCCCTTCCCCCGGGGACAGGAGCAATCCTTGCACCTGCTCACCTGTCCTTACTGACAGCATCGCCCGCAGGCCTGGCGCCCGCTGTTGCCACAGGCTCTGTGGGAGGCTTGGAGGCGCTGAAGGAGACTGGGGTGCTGGAGTCCAGTGGCAGCAGCTGCGGACCACTATGGGAGGTGAGCATGGTGCCCGCCAGGGAGCCCGAGAGCGGGATGCTGTTAAAGAAGGCCGTGGAGAAGTCCCTGTTGCCAAGAAGGAGAGAGGTCAGCCTCGGCCATCTAGCCCCTCACCAAGCCCTCACACTTTCTAAGCAATGCTTTGTCTGGGTCCACAGGCAGTGTGTTTTCACGGTAGAATGCTCATGCAAGTTACAGAGAAGCAATGAAGAAATTAAAATCACTTCATACACTGTATTTCATTAGACCGAAGAGGAACTGGTACTCACAAAGCACTAAGAAAGAAAAGGGCTGCTACCAATAATAACTGTTGGACGCCACTGGTCATCACACACCCCGACCTCCAAGGTGTTCATACGTGCAATCGCACCTCACAGGACACAGGGCAGGCCTCCCTCCTGCCACAGGCAGTGTGGGCATCCCACAATTTACCTAATCAGCCTCCCCCGAGGAAGGAGCGGAGGGCCTCCCAGGTCTCTGTAGCAGACACTGCTGGCCCAGGAGAGGAGCCTGCGGTGTGAGTGCTGAGGGCCCCGGGGTCACTGCCTGGACCACGGCGGTTCCAGCAGGCATGCTCAGAACAGTGTCTGCTTGGGGATGCCCGCTACACATCACCCCACCACCAGGATACATCCCTAGAAGGGACTGCAGCAGCAAACGGAATGCTCACGGATGATTTTGGATTTCTGGTTCTAGAGGGCCCTCCTCATAAGAGTGCCATCTCTGCACACCCTCTGCAATGGTTACCAAAGTCTTGACATCTGACAATCTGGTAGATGAAAAATGGTACCTTACTACAGCTTTAGTTTATTTTCTGCTGCGAGGCTGACATTTTTTCATCTGGAAACATCTGATTCCCCTTTTTCTGAGCTGTTTGTGGACATCTACCATGTACTGTTCTGTTTCCTTACTGGTCTTTGCTATTGATTTACTGGCTTTAAGGACACTTTGAAAAGTTCCTACATGAGCAGGAACTATTTTGCCCAGGATGTTGTGTTTTGACCCTCTATCATGTAACTGTCCTTGCCAAAAATGTTATTTTTATGTGGTCTAAATTTTGTAGAAAAGACTTTATCTCTGAGATTATAAAAATGTTCTTCTATGGAATATTCTAAAATTTGAGTAACAAAAAAGTTAAAAAAAATCACCTCTGAGCTGTACAGAATGTTGTTCTCTGAAAAATTTCTGATCTGTGGAAAATTTTAAGTTGTGAGGTAAGGCTCCAGTTTTGTTTCCTCAGAGTATCACATAGTCCTGACTTCATTTATTGAATTAGATAACAATCCATCGCAGGTGCAAAATATTTGAGCCTATTTCTGGCTTTTCCATTGTGTTTCACTGTTCTGTCTATTCATGCATCAGTACCTTCGTTTTAATTTCTATGTTGTAAGCTTTAATTTGTAGTGGGGCTAGTCTTCCGTGATTTCATCTTCTTCACAAATACTTCTGCTACTTCTGTTTGTTTTTCCACGTAACTTTGGAATGGGTCTGATTCTGAAAACTCCTGTGGTTGCAGTATTTGCTCAGGTCACATTTACGGCTGAGAGAGACCTGTCACCTTTGTGATATGGAGTCACCCTAGCTAACAAACGGCATGCATTTTTAGCGACTTCTGTGAACTGTCTTCTAGGTCTCTCGATGGAGTAAAGTTTCTTCTTCATAAGGATATTCCCCTTCCTTGTTCCATCAGGTCTTGTATTTCTGGAAGTGACTTCTTCCTTTGTATCTTCTAAAGGTGGTTGTGCGAGTTCGTCTCATTACGTCCCGTTACCTGCTTGTCTCCTTTCACTGTCTACGGCAGTCCCCCAGCTGATTTTCTTGTAGGTCACATCATCTTTAAAGAATGACACACTTACCACTTCCTTTCTAATTTCTTTCTCTTGACTAACTGTATGAGCCAGAACATCCAGAACAACGTTACATTAATCACAAGAGTAGACGTCTGTTTAGTTTGTAAATTTAATTTGAAGTAAGATGCTTTATCGAGTTAAGCAAGCATCCATCTACTTCCATTTAACTGAGTTTTAAGTAAGAGTGATTTGGATTTAACAAAAATGCCTCGAGCATCTACGGAGATGGTCATACAATTCATTTATTTTGATCTATTGATGCGTAGGAGTAAATTCAGTGTCCCAAAATTGTTTGAACCACTTTTTCTGAAATAAATTTTATTTATAGTGTATTAGCATGTTAGCACACTGGAAGGTTCTGTTTGTTTTTATTTTATTCAGGATTTTGTACTGACATTTGGAAATGAGATTGATCAGAAACTTATCATATCTTTGTCACATTTTCACTGTGAAATTTCAGTACTGTGCTCATTTCAACATAAGATTTTGCAAGCTTTCTTTTTCTACACACTACATACTTCCAATAGTATTAGGATAATCTGTTCCTTAAACATTTGTTAGAATTTTCCCATGAAGCTATCATACCTCATAGTATGGTGGCTCCTGGCAGATTAAATCTCTGACAGTGTCCTCTATTTCTTCTCTAATAATTCACCTGCACAGATTTTCTTCAGTTTTGGTAATTTTTCTTTTCTTCAAAATCATCGACTTCCAAATTTATTTTAACAGAGTTCAGCAAAAAGTGTTTCATCCTTTTGACCTATTCTTTATTTGTGATCATTTCCCACTTCTTTCCATTTTAATTATTTGCACCTTTTCTTTTCTTTCTTGATAGCCAAGCTAATAATTAATTACCTATTCTGTTGCTACTTGTTTTAATCTAGGAATCAGGAGGGCAAAAAAGTCTTTAAGACCAAAAGAATCAAGTTCTGGTGCAGAAACATGTACCCCGTGGCAGAGAGTGGGCTCAAGGCCAGGCAGGAAGCCATCTACCACCTGAGTCCTCAGTGAGGCCTGGAAGGATCCACAGAACCAAAGTGCCACCCTCACCTCCACCAGCTCCACACCATCACCCCCCACAAGCTCTGAGGTGCTTGGGCACAGTAGCACCCTCAGTCTGACTTGGTCCTGATAGAAGGTGGGCCGGTGGCACCACCCCCACAGGTTCACAGTCGGGGAAGCCTTGACCAGGTACAGCCACTCCGTGGGAGGGGTGGGGAGTGGGCTCTGCCCTCTAGGGCCTTGGCGCCTGCACACCTGACATGCACATCTCCTCGGACTTCCGGGAAGGCCAGGAACAGCTCATGGAGGAACCAGTGCAGAGGGCAGAGGGCTGTGTGGCTCCCTGAGCAAATGAGTGAGCAGGACGAGCCACCTTGATGTGCAGTCTGTCCCTTTCACACAGGGCCTTACATCCTTTAACTCAACACACCTCATTTTGGGGAGAATGACCAATGCAAAGCAAGCCTGACTACAGATGCCAAGACAGCAGCAAGCAGCAACCGAGTCCCCGACCCCACCCTCAGGGAACTCTACCCTTCACCCAGCAAGTCCGCTCTGGGAAGGGTCGCGAGGGAAGTCACAGGTGTGCTGAGGTTCTTTCCAATCTGAAAACACCGGACCAGCTACAAGTCCACATGGTGCGTTCCCAGGCTGGGTGCCTGGACAGTCAGCAAGCTGATGCTTCAGAGGACTATTTATTGAAACGGACACAAGGTCGAGATATAGGAACAAGTGGGAGACAGATACCAAAATGTTACAGTGACCACGTCTGAAAGACTGGATTACGGATAGCGTTTATGTCCTTTGGGCTTTTACCACTTTCAGTAGCGCAGATATACTCCTTTCATAACCAGAAAGAGGAGGCTATAAAAGGGAGAAAGAAACAGAAGCGACTCAGTCTGACTTCTCTCTCTGGCGTGGACAGGCTGGCACTGTGGAGCCCGCAGCACCGTCACATGTGCACGGGGCCCTGCGGGAGCCGAGGCTCTGCGGCAGCTGGGAAGCGGGGCTCCACCACGCGCTTCCAGACTCTACGGGTGAGGCTGGCCCCAGGGACCGCAAGATCTGGGCATGACAGCGCTAACTGGAGAAAGGACAGGAAGACCTCCCAGTGAGGCCACAGAAAGCTGGGCGAGCGGACCAGTACCCGGTGTCCAGCTGTGCGATGCAGAGGGGCGTGATTCTCCTCCGGCCGTCTGCCGTCCGAGTCTCAACTTGCTTCTTTAAGAGATTCTGGCAAAGCAGAGTGACAAAAATGAATGGAAACGTGTCTGTCAACTGTCTCTGAATACCAAAAAATAAGGCTTCGAATGAAATGTATCTAACCTCCCTTCCTGTGGCCTTTCAGATACAACTAACCCAAGCGGCCTCATCACAGTACAAGTGTTTTATGAGGGAGTGTGCTTGACTTCCCGCAGTGATGCAGTGAGGACAGAGGCTTCCCACTGAACCAGCTCCAGCACCTCCTGTGTCTCCAGGCTGCACCCAGCCGGGTTCCTGGGACAGCGAGCACGTGCCAGGCTGGCCTCCCCACCCACAGCCACGGGACTCAACAAGGGAGCTCCCAGATGAGACTCGCACTCCTCTCTCAGCTGTGATGTGCACTGTCTTTCACTGAAGGCTCGCAACCAAGAGTTCTGGTCACATGGTGTGTACGCGTCACTCGGGAGGCTGAGCGCCTGCACGAGCCCCTGACGTCTCCCATTTCCGTCTTCCAAACCCCCCAGGGAAACATGGACTTCCAAAGCGAGAAGGGGGTGCTAGCAGATGACCCCAAGGGCAGAGCCTGAAGCACAATGCTCTCAGTCCCTGCAATCTCTAAGAAGGGCTAGAGGTGAGGTTTGAAAGTTCCACTAGGAGCAGCTCCTTGAGAGCTCCAGGGACCAGGCCTTGGATGAGGTGCCTCAGGCCCCAAGGTGGTTCGTCCCAGGTCCTGTCCACCCTCCCCAGCACACGCGTCTGAGCCCTGCTGAGACCCCCTATCCCCTCGTGCGGTCCCAGGCCTGGCGCTCACCTTCCTGATGTCCTCCAGACTCTCCCCATTGACAACGCCAGCCACCGCAGCCGTGGCACCTGTCTCCCTGGCCGCTGTGCCCCCCTGGCCCAGCTGCTGCCTCCGCTGGTACTGGAGCATCTCGGGGTTTTCAATGACGGCTGTGGAAAGCTGCGCCTCAGCCATGATGGCCAAGCTCTTGCCATAGGTGGACTGGTGGATGCGGCTCTAGGGGAGGCAGAGAGGCGTGGCACTGTGCCGGGGCAGGCAGGGCCCAGAGCCCTGGACACCAGCTCCCCAACTGTCCACCCTGTTCTGCCCAGTGCTGACTGGAGACACTGGGGAGGTCACATACCCTCGCTAGGCATCTACAGCCTCACGTGGCTGCGAATCAGGGAGACCGTGGAGCCGCCAGGAAAACACCTGCGGCAGATCTGGTGCTGAACAACAGCAACAGACACACACTGAACTGAAATGACGACACTCAAAGTTCTAACGTAAAGCTCTTAACTCAAGCTACAGACCCCAAACTCGTCTGGGAACCAGACCTTGAAGCCCAGAGCCAGCTTTCATTGCTCCTGCCTGTGCCGTCAGTCCGCGTGGTTGGAGGTCTCTATGGGGCCAACAGTCCCCAAAAGCGAGGAAAGGCCTGGTGCAAAGACCTGGGGGGGGGGTCTTTCTCTGCCTCTGCTGTCCCCCAACACATCCTGACTCCTCCCTCCATCCCCCCAGGTCTCAGGAGTCCTGGGCCACAAGCCAGACCCCGTGTGGGCAGGAACGGGGCCCCAGCACGCAGAACAGCCCCTATGACGAGGGGCAGACTTGCTCAGGATGTCAGATGACTGATGCAGAGGGGTGAGCAGGACGACTGCCTTGCAGGAAGGATGCTGGGTGAGGAGAACTGGGACCTGGCCCCCTGGAGTCTTGAGCCAGAATTTGCTCCTCAAACACAGGGCCCCTGCCTCTACCTGCTCCCGCACAGGACCCCCCAACCCCGTGACTCTAAGCAGGGAGCGGGCTCGGCACTCCTAGGACACCTGATGACACTGACAGGCGGGGATAAAACCTGAGGCTGCGGACACACTCATCCCTTAGGTCAATGGACAAACGACTGTGAGGTACCAGGATGTCCAGGGGCCGGAGCAAGGCAGGCCCCACCCCTGAGGGTGCACATCATTGTGGGATGGTCCCCACACAGCCTATGTGGAAGCTTCACCAAGGGCAGGGTGGCTGGCCTGCTCTGGGCTTTCCAACACGAATGCATCCTTCGGCGTATGGGTGACGGCCTATCTGCAGGCTGGCTGGCATCCGCCCAAGGGAGGTGACACAGCGCCTCCACCAGGGCCTGGAGGATGGGCCCGGGCCACTCCATCTGGGCACAGCACAGTGCAGAGGCGGCCTGGCCCAGAGGCTGCGAGTGGTTCATGCTTTTGTTCTCAGACCCTCTGAGTCACCATGGCCTCAGCAAAGGGAGGGCCGGACTGTTTCCCGAGGCTGTTACTTCCTCAGTGAAACAGGGTAGCCCTGCCCTGAAGTGTTCTTTATCAGTTCAGTGAAATCCTATGTGCAAATGCACGGCCAGGGTCTGGCCTAGGCAACGTTGTCGGGACAGGATGGCAGGATGAGAGTGGGGACCCCAGTGTGGCTGAGCAGCAGCTCAGGAGAGGCCCAGGGTTCTATTCTTAAGTCTAGGACTGGTTTCTGACCAGAACAGAGCCTCACTTTAAATTAATCTATCTTGTGGAGAAGATCAAGGATTATCACAGATGAGAGGCAGATGCGGGAACATTTCAGGAAACGTGTCTGTGGGTCGTGAGAGGCATCCTCTCAGGACGCGTGCAGCACGCAGGCCAGAGCTGGGGTGGGGGCGCTGCCTTCCTACCTTCTCCTCCTCGCTCAGGGGGTCTCCCAGCTCGTCCTGGGAGAAATCCAGGAATGCCACGGAGCCATCCATAGAGCACACCAGGATGCCTAGCCCATTCAGCGTCCTGAAAGAGACGGCCATCAGCGGCCGGGCTCCAGCCCCGCAACATGCGGAGGATGGATGCAGAGCTGGGGAAGAAGTGTGGGGGCAGGGGGGGGG